TATATATATATATATTTATATATATATATATATATTTATATATATATATATATATTTATATATATATATATATTTATATATATATATATATATATAACACACATATACATACATACAGTAATTAATTTTCCCGGGCACGTTTTTTTTACTGGTATTGTTGTGAACAGTATGATATGGGCCAGCCCCGCCCTGAAGAGCTGTACCTGTCTGGAAACATGTATCGTGTTCTGCCAACTTTTGTACAGCGAGTTCTTGTTGGATAACTTTCTGCTTCACTTAAAACACAACAAAAAGTTTAATTAAACTTTCAGGAAGAAAAACATCTAGTTTAGGATGTGATCCGTTCTGGTTGTAACCCCCCTGCTGGTGCCGGTGGTTTGTCTTCAGGGCACCGTGTGTCCCGTGAGCGGCCCGGAGCTCGAGTCTCTCCTGTCCTGCATCAAGGACCTGCTTCCTGATTTGGGCGAAGGCTTCCTGTTGGCGTGCCTGCAGGAGTACGACTACAACTCTGAGCTGGTCATCAACAACATCCTGGAGGACCGCTTGGCCCCCAGCCTGGAACAACTGGACCGATCCATGCCCAGGTAACGCTCAGACCCCATCCCACCCGGAGGTCGAGTCAAGGTCAGCCTCCAGTCCTAACACGATGTCACTCGTTCTCCTGTAAACCGTCTTGTCCTTTTCCAAACGTACTGTATTTTTTCATTCATTCAGTTCAAAGAAACAAAACAAATCCATTAAAAATAAAACCAGAGAATGAGAAGGGTTCAGAAAGAAGAAGAACATTTAATATCTGGCCCGATTAAAAAATACAACCAACCACCTACACTTCAACAATGTCCAAATTAAAAACATCAGGTATCCTTCACCTGGCACCGTACCTTTAACTTAACCATCTGTTTCAACATATAAATAGTTTTAGAAATGTTTGATATCAAGGCAGTTCCACAATCCTGTTCCCTGAACAACAACCAGCTCTTCACACTGCACACCTGTGTCGCAGGTATCCACTGCACACCTGTGTCGCAGGTATCCACTGCACACCTGTGCACACACTGTGGATTGTTTTCAACATGCACGAAGCTTCACTGCTGATCCTTCGTGTACTTCCTGCTTCAGTGTTAGACTCAACCATTATTCCTTCAAATGAACAAGATACCAGTAAATGTCTACCAGTAAGCATCATCACTGGACAGTAAAGTGCCAAACCCCTACATAACTGAAATTATTAAACAATTATATACCGGGAAATATTACCCAGAATTCTTACTGGGGTCATGTGACCAGAAGTGAAATGGCACAGATAAATGTGGTAAATATTAACTCACTGGTAGAACCACTGTTTTTTATTGTTAAACAGTTTTGGTGTCAGCTGCTGTTTTTAAATCTACCTTTACTTTCTAAATTAGCTTAAATAAATATGACGGGTTTTCTCTTCAGCGCTGGTGAGGAGGGGAGGGGGGAAGGGGAACAGCCCCCCCCCGTCTCCCCCCCCCAGTTTCTGGAGTGAGACGAGCTTAAATAAAATACCTACTGGTATTTAAACACATTTACCGTAGACAGAAAGATTATTTTAAACTTTGATTGAAATCTGTGCAGACTTGACTGTTTAGAGCACCTCTGCTCAGCTGAGCGCACATCACGGATAAAAAAATAAAATCAGACGCACCGATGGTGGACCAGAGTCACTCACGGCTCTGCTCTTCATCCTCTGCACTGGAACCATGAAAGTTCTTCAGTGTCACAAGTGAAGAGGCTCAAAAAGACGTTCTCGCACCGGCTCCTTGTCGCTCTGGACGTCACTCCCTCGTGCTGTCCGCATCATCCCGCAGCGGTCCAGCCGAAGTCTGAACTGTGCACGAGGCGTAAAATTCAGTAACTGATCTGAAGAATTTAGCCTTTTTTCTTTTTACCTGAGCTCACTGTAAACAGGAAGCCTCACCAACGCACGTGTCTTGGAGGATGGGCCAGCATCTCATTGGTCATGAAGGTTACACTTCTGGTCACATGATGACAGAGTGGGCGGAGTCATGGTAGAGAACTGTGAAACCGTGACCCAGAATCGTCTGATTACCTGCAGTTATTCTTGTGTTGTAAACACCTGCCCCCAAGAGGGCGGGGCGTTGGGTTAGCTGCGTCATAAGTAAATCATAGACTGTGGCAGGAAACTGCCAAGAAATACCAGGAAGTCTTTCAAAATAAAATAAAAAATACATAATTGAGGTGTTTCCTGCATATAAAGCAAAGAGTGCAAAGTGTGAGACAAAAGTAGCGGCTTATATCAGGAAGGAAGCGAGTTGGTGTTTGTGCAGGATTCACCAGAGATGCATCAAACGCCCTCAATCTGCTCACATAATCTGAGCTGCGTGCACAGATTTATTCTGAACGAGACACTAGGGCTGGGCCACATCATATCGTTCACGATACCGGTAAAAAAAGCTTGCCCGTGCAAATAAATTATATCACGATATGCTCATTTCATGACGTAATACGTCAGGGCGCCCCGCCCCCTTAGCAGAACCGAGCACGCCGAACGACCAAACCGAACTGCGCACCCCCCCAATTAGCGTGTAACGCTAATTAGTTGCGCGCAATACTAGCTAGCTATAAAGCTAAAAATAAACAACGCACGGCTCAGCTGTCTCTCCATCCAGCTCTAAACTGCCACGCCTTTGTTTTCCCTCCACTCCGCTCAGAGCTGCCGGTGCAAACACGAGCAGCTCAACTGGCTCTTGAGATCCACAGTCCATGGACCAGGACAGAGTCAGGTGATCAGAGACAGGTGATCAGAGACAGGTGATCAGAGACAGGTGATCAGAGACAGGTGATCAGAGACGGAGTCATGTGATCAGAGACGGAGTTATGTGATCAGAATCAGGTGATCAGAGACAGAGTCATGTGATCAGAGACGGAGTCATGTGATCAGAGACTGAGTCATGTGATCAGAGTCATGTGATCAGAGACAGAGTCATGTGATCAGAGACAGTCATGTGATCAGAGACAGAGTCATGTGATCAGAGTCATGTGATCAGAGTCATGTGATCAGAGACAGAGTCAAGTGATCGGAGTCAAGTGATCGGAGTCATGTGATCGGAGTCAAGTGATCGGAGTCATGTGATCGGAGTCATGTGATCAGAGACAGAGTCAAGTGATCAGAGACAGAGTCAAGTGATCAGAGACAGAGTCATGTGATCAGAGACAGAGTCATGTGATCAGAGTCATGTGATCAGAGACAGAGTCATGTGATCAGAGACAGAGTCAGGTGATCAGAGTCATGTGATCAGAGTCATGTGATCAGAGACAGAGTCAAGTGATCGGAGTCAAGTGATCGGAGTCATGTGATCGGAGTCAAGTGATCGGAGTCAAGTGATCGGAGTCATGTGATCGGAGTCATGTGATCGGAGTCATGTGATCAGAGACAGAGTCAAGGGATCAGAGACAGAGTCATGTGATCAGTCATGTGATCAGAGTCATGTGATCAGAGACAGTCGTGATCAGAGTCATGTGATCAGAGTCATGTGATCAGAGACAGTCATGTGATCAGAGACAGAGTCAT